ATTCCTTATAACGTGTATTGCAGGATTTAGATCATCAACCGTAGGACCCTTATTCCCTTGTTCCTTATACAGTTACCCAATAGCAGAAAGGGAGCCCTTTTTATTCCGAGGCTACTGGGCATCCTAGAGATCAGAGGCCCTAGGTTGGACCCTATAATTAAGGCTCATAACCTACTATCGTGTCAGGTGCAGCTCTGGAGCCGGGAAGGCATCTACCTCGGGGACCTCGGCGAGCGCGACGACTGGATTTGGCGCGGAGCCTTAAAGGGCTCCCTAAAGGGATATATACCAAAAGAGGTAAGGGATCTATAAGGGGTTATGGTTTAGGGGGAGCCTTCCATGGTCCATGGTTCTGAAGCCGAAGGGTCCAAGTAATGGTATAGTATATACTTTGGGGCCAAACTACCTACTATAATGGTACTTGGGCCCTTTGGGGAAAGGGTGTTTAAGGGTTTTAGGCATTTTAGGGGGTTTGAAGTGTTTTAGGATGACAATACCCTATAGTTCCCGGACCCTACTATGGAACCCTAAGCTCCCTTAAAGGGGGTTTGAAGGGTTTTAAGGGTTTTGCGGTTCAGGGTTCAGGCTCAGGGCTCTACTGGGAGCTTTCGAAGGCTATCATAGACTGCTGTCAGGTTTTGTAGGCATTGTAGGGCTTGAAAGGGCATCTTTTCTATCTCTGCAGGTTGGCAATGGAAGCTTTTCAAGCCAAAATTACTTTACTGGTGAATGAGACACTGTCTAGGTCTGAGAGCTTGTTTTGCAGGTGGTCACCTATCTGTCTTGGACTGGCTTTCCGCAAAGTTGTCATGTGGCCGTTTTGTCATAGAATGTATGTGCTACCTAGTACTTCAGTTCAACTCACACTATTCAGCATCATAAAGACTATTCACCCGGCGTTATATAGCAATATCTCAGCATTATGTCAGCACTGTTTCAGCACTAAGTTATTTAGCACATTGTAGCGCTATCTAGTACTACTTTAAGACAAGAAGGCTTCCTTTTAGTCTGTTACTATATGGGTGCTTGTCAAAATTAGGGTCCCTTTTCGGGTCCTTATTATAGTGTGGCACCTAATATTTAGGGTACCCAAAAAGGGACCCTAATTTTGACAACCACCCATACAGGAGCTTTGCGAGGTTTTCAAGTTGGATGTGCAGAAACATGGCTTTGATGAGGGTTCTATGCCATAGGGGTATGTTGGGAATTGAAGCCGGGACAGACCCTTAATCTTAACCCTGCAATGAGGACAGCTTCGAAAGGACCCGAGACCCCGTCGGAAGGAACCCTCAACCCTAAACTCCAAACCCTAAACCGTCCGACCGAGAGAGCTGGTGAAGACGTCACGAAAACGAAGAGCGACAGAAGCCTCTCGGCAGCTGCGCGGCCAAGGATTCCTGCAGCCGAGGTGCTTCCCAGAGACTCCAACATCCCTTAATTAAGGAATATCTTTAAATTATGGCAGGCTCCCTTATATGATTTAAGGTATATTCCTTAATTAAGGGATATTGGAGTCGCTGGGTTACCGGAAGGTTTATTCGACGGGACACGATTTGACCCGCAAGGTCGCAGACGCCTGGCCCTCTAAGTTTTGCGGACATGTTCCCTACACGTTCTACAACCGTTCCGAGACACGACACCACAAACGGGTGGTTGTCAAGATGATCGTCCCTTTTTGAGTCCCTATTCTAATACGGCACCTATTAATTAGCGTACCCAAAAAGGGACCCTAATTTTGATAACCACCCCAAACGGATTTCCGCAGGATCAGAGCTGTCGGCAACACTGAAGGCAGTTCGAGTGCGGACCAGACCCCCAGAGAGACTTAGTAGCTGAGTGGATACACTTTACATTTTTTTGGGGATAATTTTAGCCACTATAAATCTGAAAGTGTATACTTTTTGGGGGCTTGTGAACTCAGCAACTAGGGAGAAGCTTGTACTCTGACTCTGGGTTTTCGGCGACGAGGCTTCACAGTACCCTAAACCCTAAATCCTGCGGATCAGTTGGAAAAAGGAGCCCCCCCAAAAAAATCCTAAGCCCCGGTCCCTAAACCCTAATCCCTCAATCTCTAACCTGAAGGGCCCTTGTCAAAGTCCTCCAAGGGTGGGATGAGGGCAGGTCCCGTAGTGACACCCAGCTACACGCGTGTAAACAGAGCCTCCCATACACCCACTACCCGTGAGTTCAGTTCTGAGTAGCTGAGTGGATACACTTTACACGTTTTGAGATAATACTACCCACAACAAAACTGAAAGGGAACACCTTTGAAATCATCAACTAAGGGAGGATGAGTAGCATCAGCGACTTTCCAATCACCAGGTTCTTCACAGAGAGCCAAACTAAACCCTAGACGACAACAGCCCCGTGCCGGTGCGCATAGACATGCATGCGTATGTGGTTATGTATATATATATATGTACATATATATATATATATATATACACTTTTGTATGCATGTATGTACGTACGCATATAGTCATGCATCTATGCCAATGTATGTAAATAAATAAATGAATATATATATATATATATATATATGTATATATATATATATATATATATAGGAAATATTTTTCTGTGTGTATATATAGTTATAGAGAGAGAAAAAGAGAGAGGGAAAGAGAGAGAGAGAGAGAGCTTATGCCTTCATTTCCTCGCCGAAAGCCTTGTAGTTTTGTCTCGAAGGTCGTGTGCCGTCAGGCCCAGGCAGGATTTGGGACAGGAGGGTCGAAGACTTCCGGCTTTATGCAGTCTGCCCTAAGGCCCCATAGTAGATCCCTTTTTGGGGTTCATGTTTAGAACCTTGTGAGGTAATCTCAAAAAAGAATTACCATGGCGCCTTAGGGTGGGCTTTGGAAGTTCAAGCGGTTTTGGGGTTGGGCCTGGGAACCGAAGATCATGAAGCCCAGCCGGCTTCTGTGACAGAACCTCAGACTGGAGGTAGCTTAACACGGTTTAGGGTTCAGGGTTTAGGGTTTAGAGTATAGGGTTTAGGGTTCAGGGTTTAGGGTTCAGGATTCAGGAGGGAGCAAGCCAGAGAGGGGTCTTCCAGGTTGAGGGCTTGGGGTCTAGATGTTGGAATCGGTGAAGGTTATTTCAGAATCACCGAGCGGGTGCTTTGCAGAAGGCTCCGGATGATGCCTCATCGGGCCGACGTATTGGACCTAAAATATCAAAGGACTTTGTAGGTATGCTTATGAGTACCTGGAATAGTGCTATGCGAGAATGAACTACCCTACATAGTACGTGGCCTTGCCAAGTCCCCTCATCGTTTAAGTAAACCATGGGCTGTCTCCGATGAACAATCGAGCTACCGCGCTTTAGAGGAAGTCGTTGCGTTTCGGCTTGTCTCAGTTAATCCATGACCCGATGTTCTGTATGTCCTAGTCCCTACATAGGTGTATACTATGCTAGACCCCAAACACGTTTCGACTTGTTCACGCCGTTATGGGTGCTGAATCTGTGGGACGGCTATGTACAGCTTGTTGCAAGGGATTGACGGACTAGGACCCGGAGGGTTTCTAAGTAATTGAAGGGTCTAGGATGTAAGTAGCTGACTCGAAGCATTGCTGGACTCTTCATAAGTAGCTATAGTGCCCGTATGTTTACAAGTACCCCCCCTTACAGTTATAATGAGGACTCATGACAAGTGTAGTTGCGATTTGCTTTAGTTACTTGTAACCGTAATTACTGAGTTTCTTGACGTGTTAATCGAGACCTTCTGTGCTGATCCCCTCCCCCCGCTCCCTCCGGTCCTCCAAACGCTCTAATATAGGGGCTTGAATTAATTACCAACACTACTATTGTGAGGTTTCCTTGATATATTTATAGTATACTGGGCCCCCAAAGCCATCTTCTAAACTGTTGAGGCCCCTACATGATAGTACCTTTATAGATCCCCTATCCTTATACAGACCCCTTTAAAAGGAACCCTACTCTAATCATTAAGGCCCCTATGAATGAAGGCCACCTATATTAAGCCATCACATGTTGATCGGTCAGGAAGTCCCACCAAAAATCCTGAAGTAATTTGGGTTGCACTATCCAGACCTTCCAAAATCCTTCGGTTTAATTAAGGAACATACCTTAACACATATCAGGGATCCTATCATAATTTAGGGTATAGTCCTTAATTAAGGGGCTTTGGAAGGTCTGGGGGTCATGTACGGTTACGGTTCAGTCACAAAGACCCTGAAGGGGCTAGGGGGGAGGGGGGTAGGGGGCGTTAATACCTGTAATCAGGACTTAAGGCTTTTTCAAGGAAGTATACTCCCCCACCCCTCTACCCCTGACCCCCTAAGCGTTCCTGTGATTTAGGGTCCTGGGTGTAGTTTTGAAAATGTTGATTTCAAGCTTCGAGGCTTCGAAGCCTAGGAGTATTGTCCTCTTCGAACTCGCCTGGCTTCTGCCCTGAGTTATAAGCCCCCTGGTTCCCTATATAGTAGCCTATGTAATAGTTACATACATTGCAAACCCCGAAACCCTGTCCGAAGTATCAAGGCCAAACCCTAAACCGTACCCCTTGCTACACTAGGCCACCAAATGTTCACAGCCGGCCTGGGTGTTTTTGGCTTCATGAGGCATAGGGCAGAGGCGCGTCGGAAGAACCACTGGAGCATAGTATAGGGGCTGGAACCACTACAAATTACTATCATGTCTCACTAGGGCGCCTTGTCGTTCCAATTTAAGGCCCTATAGAACGTCTGTTACATTTACATGCAACTGCGGCCAAGCACCATTGCGTCAGTGAAAAGCACCAGTCAAACCACGGAGAACACCTTACATCCTTGGTAGGCCATGCCTAAACCCCCAACCCTAAGCCCCTAAACCCCTAAGCCCGAAGCCCTGAGACCTACCCTAAGGCCCCATAGTAGTTCCTGTTTGGGGTTCATATTTAGGATCTTATGAGGTAATCTCAAAAAACGAGCTAGTATGGGGCCCTAGGGTATAGAAACTGAACGCTTCACATCAGCTGCGATGCCTTTGCGGAAGACCTGATGTACTTTGCTCACAGGCCAGAAAGATTCCTAGTCCTGTTTCCCAGAGGCTCAGAAACGCCATGTACTAGAAGCCCAAAAGGCCATTGATGTGTAGGCAATCCCAGCACTATTTGGCCTTGATCCGGTTTCCAACTTTATGGGGTTTACCGTATTCAGAACTCAAGAAAGATTCTTTAATTCATCTTCTAATTAAAAGCTCATTCGTCATCTTTTGGCAGAACAAGTAAGTGCCAGGATTTTCGAGCAAGCATACGAGGCTTACCTCAGATTTCACGGGCGGTTCGGGGTTTCCGAAACGCGGCCTGGCTTGGAGTTCCGGGCTTAGAGTTGAGGGTGACATGCATTCAGCCACGATATCAGGCTGCATGTTTGGGGGGCCCTTACAGCCAACTCGAACACTTAAGCCATCTGCCCTATAGTTCCTGCAACCTCATTTGTTCCTGAACCCAACATCGGGAGCACCGCTTCTTCCGGTTTCTACATTAGAGAATAGCTGTTAGTTAGTTACATAATGTCATGGTTGGGTTCACCAGGTAAGACACAAGCTACGCTCGTATGATTTCCTAGAGCCTTCAGATTTGCAGATGGGCAGTTCTCTAAATTAGGGTCCCTCCTCCGGTCCCCCAAACAATACCGCAGCCCTTTAAAAAGTACCCGAAAAGACCTTAATTTAGAGAACCCAGATCTAAGGCTGCGGAGTTGAGGTCGTTGCGGCACTTTCAGGAAGCATGCCGGAGCTACGAGAGTTCCTCCACGGTCTCCTTCGACTTCTCGTAGAAAACTGCAGAAGCATAGTAGAGTTTGTTTCGCCACGCCCCTGCCATCAACTTACCTTCGGCCGCTCTATTATCTGAAATGCCCTACAGGGCCCGAATTTTGAATGCACGGCCTCACGTCCTGAAGCGCCACACTTCAAGAGGCATCAACCCCAACATCTCCCCCGAACCCTGCACCTGCCCCCAACACCCACATGGGTGGTTGTCAAAGTTAGGGTCCATTTTTTGGGCCACCCTAGATGTTATGTGGAGTATTCCATTCAGGACCGCCCCAAAAGGGACCCTCATTTTCACAACCACCTACTGTGTCCTTCTTTTATTTACTTGGGGTAAAAGTCGTTCTTATCTACCTAGGACCTAGAGTAGGCCCTTATTCCATGTTTTCAGGGTTCAGGTTCGCTGATAGGCCCCTTTAAGCCAAAAAGGGCACCGTTGTTATTCCCAGGCTACTCTTAGGTCTAGAGTATTTACTTGGGGCAAAAGTTTCTTACTGCTGATGGACAAAATCCTGCATGACCCTAAGGACTCTAAACTATGGGAACTATGGTATATTCCTCATATTAGGAAATGCAGGATTTATATCATCCTAAACCCTAAACCCCCTATAGATCCCTTAAAGGAACCCCTTAAAGGCACCCTTATAGATCCCTTTAAAGGAACCCCTATCTACAGTAGTATAAGAGCCTGTTTTGGGCCAGAGGATTAAATATAGGAGTTTCCGAAAACAGGGGACCCTGTAGGGTTCCTTTAAAGGGTACCAGAAGGGCTCCCTTTAAGGGATCTATAGGGTTTTATTAAGAGTTTAGGGTTTTGGGATATGGGAGTTCCCGAAAACAGGGGACTGGAAGAAAGTACCCCAAATAGCAGGATCCTGATTAGAAGGACCCCCAAAGAAGGTACCCCGAATCTTCGGAAACTCCCAGATAGATGATACATGGACTGAAAGCCCTAAGCCCTGATGGTACCCTGTAGGATTTAGGGTTTAGGGCGTAGTACCATAATACCTTAAGGCTCCATGTACCCATGCAGTATATACTTAGGCCTTAAAGTACCTATATGGGGACCCCTTCAAGGCTTAAGTATCTACTATTAAGATGCATGGGGCCTTTGGGATAGAACTCTTAAGGCTTGGAGGAGCCCTTAGGGGTGTTACCCTCAACCGTAGCCATTCCGCAGAGATAGCCGGGAAGGGAATCTAGCAAAGGTTGCATAAAGTTGTATGGTAGTTGCCGAAAATAGGGGACGCTAGTATACTACCCTAAATACTAGGATCCTTATAATGCCCCCAAAATAGGGTATCCCTAATTTTTCGGAAACTCCCATATGGAGTTCCGCAGGATCTTCCAGCAAGCCCTGAACCTTAAACCCGAACCTTGGCCCGAAAGCCCAAGCCCGAAACCCCTAACCCCAAGGGTCCAAAGGACCCAATAATCAGGTACTCGGTTTTAAGATAGTAGTTATGTAGGTTAGGATTTCGGAGAGTATATGATTATCAGGTACGTGGACCCTTGAAGTAAACCCTGCAAACCCTAAACCCCAAACCCAAATCGGAAGAGTCCTGATCCTTTCCCTTTGTTGGCAAGGCATGACCGGCAAGAGATGCTGCCGCCCATTATGCCGTCCCATCATCTCCGGCGGCCTGCATGCCCTTACCCTAAACCCTGAAAATCACCTACTTTTCTAGGGTTGCTTATTATGGTTTCTATATATACTTCCCTAAACAGGTATGTCTATTCGGCGACAGGTAACCCCTAAAGCCCAGGCTACTGCAGGTCTGGCTTTAAATTTGGAGGTTTCAGGTAAACTAGGAATACCCTAGACCCGTTCATGGGCTCTTGTGATTTTGGGAGTATGATGGGAGGCCGCCCACGCTGCCGTTTTCCCTGGGTTTGTTTGGGATCCTGATTCCAGCTGGGCAACAAAGGAGAGCCCCTTTTCGTCGTGCCAGGGTCACCTGAAGATCTGTTTTGGAAGGTAATACTGTTGATGGACAAAATCCTACATCACCCATTATCAGGACTATACCATAGTTCCCATAGTTTAGAGTCCTTAGGGCCATGCAGGATTTTGTCCATCAGCAGTAGTTTTATCTTTGTTGGTTTTCCTACCTTCAGTTCAGTTTGTCTTAGGCCATCTGTGCTCGATATTAATCTATATTGAAAGTTTATACGTTGCTTAGTGCTTGTTGTGTTGATTTCCGTGCGCATTCCTTTCTGCTTGTTTGTTTTCAGATGTCTGCACTCTGCTGCTTTTGCATGTCGATGTTGTTGCTGTCTGCCTTCCTCTAAGTTCGCTTTGGTTTAGGGTTTTGGGGTTTAGGGTTCCAGATGCCTTACTAGTTAGGATTCTGATTGTGGTTGTTGCTTTGCGTGGTCTGCTTTCTGACTGTTTTGGTTCTGGCGGTGTGTATTTCTAAGTCTTAGTGTAGGAGTGGCATAGGCCCTATCCCGTCATATCCAAAACCCTGAACACTCGCAAAGCACGAAACCTTCAGTCCCAACCGTCATGCTCCAAAGGACCCAATAATTAGACAGGTTTAGGGATAAGGGGTCTAGGGTTTGCTTAGTGGCTGTAAACTCAACTTTTCATCTTTTGGGGTTCTTGTAAGGTGGTCGATTCTGAAAGTTTCAACTTTTATTTCCTTGGGTTTTGGGCCAGTGAGTTTAGGGTGCCGGATCCGCCATCCGTCCAGCAGCATTACCTCAGAAATACCGCCACTTGGGGTAAGCCGCAACACCAAATCCTGAAACAGAATCCTAAACCCCAAACCTTCAACCCTAAGTCCTAAACTTAAAACCCCGAAACCCTCAACTTTAAAACCCCGAGGCCTAAACCCTAAACTCTAAACCGCAGCTCTCAGCGACCGAGGAGTGGTCGCTCTGTCGACAAAGCACGACGACTTCCTTCCAAAACCCCACAGGCTGGGCTTTGGGGTTTGGAGTGTTTGGGGGTTGAGGGGTTTAGGGCTTAATGTAGGAACCTGGTTAAGAAAGGGCGCCTTGTATGAATCCTATTATTTTGGGATCATAGGCCCAGGGTTTCTTAATCGGGTTCCTACATTAGAGTGTTTGGAGTTTAGTGTTTGGGGCCTTGGTATTTCTGAGTATGGAGTTACTTAGTAGGACAGGCAGTAACATTTGTTTATGTATTCTGAGGGCAAATCCGCACATCTTCCCGAAGCTTACTGGACAAACAAGTTTGTATTAAGATTACTGAATGGCGCAGGTTGAGTGGACAGGTTTAGTAAAGGGGTGTAGAGTCAGGGGTCTCGTGTTCAGGTAAGGTACGGGAGTTACTTGAAGAAGGCCCTAAACCCCTACACCCTGAACCCTCCAATTCTATATTATGGTCCCCTCTTGGGTACCCCAAATAATAGGTGCCGTATTGTACCAAGGACCCAAAAAGGGACCATAATTTCGACAACTACCCATCTTGGCGTGGATGTTGCGGATTCCGGGATCAAGATTCGAAGTCACAGCGATCAAGACGGCGAAGTGCTCATAAGGATTCTGAGACCCTACTGGGGTTTAGGGCTTACCTTAACTAACCCTGATTAACCTACCTTTTTAAGGGCTTATACAAGGAAATCATAATAAGGAGCCCTAAAAAGGTAGGTTACACAGGGTTAAAGTAGGGCATGGCTTCCTACAAAGCCCCTCAGAATAGCCTAGAAATGATACAGAAAATGATATACCCTTACAGTCCCGCAGAGCCCAACTACCTCTCAAAATGGTTGAGCCCCTAATATAGGGGCTCAAAGAACTACCAATACTATCTTGGAGGTTCCTTATTATAATGAGAGTCTAATGGGCCCCACAACCCTATTCGAATTATGAACGCCCCTATAGTATAGTAAGTACCCTCATCGATCCCATAGAATAGCCCTCCCTTATAGACCCCTTTTAAAGGAACCCTATTCCAACTATTACGGCCCCCTATAGTACCGTAAACCATAGCAAGTGCTTAGAGACGTGGAGCTCTGAAGCTATGAAGGCCAGAGCGGTTTGGGGTTTAGGATTTAGGGTTTAGCACTCCAATATCCCTTAATCAAGGAATATATATGCCTTAAGCCTAAGCGTTCCTTAAAGGGATCTATAGGCGTTCCATAGGGAATTCAGAACTATGCCTTAAACTATAGTGGGACCCCTAAGCTGATTTAAGGTACATTCCTGAATTACGGGATATTCGAGTCCCGTAAACCCTAATTCCTATAGATCCCTTATAAGATCCCTTTAAGGAGCCCTTATAGGATCCTCTTGAATTAAAGGAACCTTAGGAGTCTCTGGGAAGGTCAGCAGCACGACGTCCCTTGGAGACACGACGGGAAGCATTGCGAGTCTTGGAGGCCCGCTGCTCCTTGAGTGGCGCAATAACCCCTAAGGGTCCATATTAGGGTTTACGGTTTAGGGTTTAGGTCCCTAACCCTTAGGCTCTAAGGTCTCATATGCTAAAGCTACTGGGCCCAAAGCCATACTATATAAGGCTGTTGGGCTATTCTGAGCATTAGGGTAAGGATCCACATTAGAGTAGGGTTCCCTTTACAGGCGTCTATAAGGGCTACTACAAGGGGATCCAGAAGGGTATTCTAATATACGATGCTTCGCAAAGCACTGTACATTTCACGGGGCTCCTCAGAGCAGTCGGAGTCGGTTCCCTCACCTCATGACGGCTCTTGAGCTTTAGGTTTCAGGATCTGGCAAAAAAATGGGCTGAGGGTGTAGGGTTCCCCGAGACTCCCTTAAAGGAGCCCCTTCAAGGCCCAAAGTGCCCTACTGTTGATGATATAAATCCTGCATTACCTTAAGGACCCTAAACTATGGGATTTATGGTATATTCCTTATTATGGGTAATGCAGGATTTATATCATCAACCGTACTTTACAGGACGCTCCTTCAAAAGGCAAAGGTGTCCTTTTTTCTACGGGCGCCCTCGAGTTTGGTGCTGTTTTGATGCCCAGGGTTTTTGGTCCCCATAACAATACGGCACCTATCATTCAGGGTACCTCAAACCCGGACCATAATGTTGACAACTATCCCAGAGTCACAGAGGTCGCAGCAATTACCCATAGTTTTCCTTAGGCCTGAGGGTGCCTAGATATGATTTAGAACCTAGTATACCACAAGACTCCCCATTGAAAACTATACACTCCCCATACTTTCATTGGAGTTGCCATAGAATGCCTTTAGTATCAGCCCCAAGAAGCTGAAAGCACAAACAAAACTTTCCACTTGCTGCAGCGATACGCAGGAATGGCCTGCCCTGCGTGCCAGTGAAGTTGCAGCCACTATCTACCCATAGGCCCCATCGTAGTTCCTTTTTGGGATTACCTTGTAGGATTCTAAATATGAACCCCAAAGAGGAACTACTTCGGGGCCTTTGGGTAGGGTGTAGGGCTTAGTGGTTAAGGGCTTATAGTCAGGGTTTAGGACTTAGTGTTTATCATCCCTTCCACTCGTGGGAATGAGATGGCAGCAAGGACGACAGACAACGACCAAGACGACACTGCAAGGATAACGACAATGCCGGCAGCAACCGGAATCATCACCATCATCAGCAGCGTCACCTTCATAATCAGTCTTTCTCTACAGCAATTGCCTGTTTCTGCCCGATGCTTATCATACGTTTCAGAATCCTGAGTGTCCCTGGTGTGTTTTCTTCTCATTATCAGGGTTCTTTCTATGATGTTTATGCCAACCTCAACAAAGGTGGAACCCTAAACCTCGAAACCCTGAATTCTTGAAAAGCACCAAACCCCTAACGCCCCCCAGACCCTCAACCAACAAGAATCTGCTCCTGTGGCCCTACACCCGAAACCCTCAGCCCCAAACTCCCGAATTCAGTCCTAAAGCCCAAATCCGTAAACCCTAAGCTCTTAGCCCCCTTAGCCTTAAACCCCTAAAGCCCAACAGCATGCCTAGACCCTAAACGATTTGGCTCTCCTTGTTCTTCTAACGAAATCTTTAGACACATAAAACCTTTAGGGTGTAGGGTTTAAGGGTTTACAGGGTCCAGGTAAAGCCCCACCCTAAGGCTCCATGTACCCATGTAGTATATACTTAGGCCTTAAAATACCTACATAGGAACCCCTTCAAGCCCTAAGTATCTACTATAAAGGTACATGGAGCCTTTGGGCCAATAAACTCCCCCTTTTTGAGGCTACAGCCAGGGTAGCAGCTCCCGGGACTGGGATGACCAGCGCCACCACGCCAGGCGCGATCACGAACCCCCCACAAAGTGGGAATTCCTTTACCGCTTCTTTTAGCTTAAGGGTTGAGGGTTTAGGGTTTATAGCTTCTATGACGGGCTTCACAAAAATGGGAGTTCCTTTACCGCTTCTTTTAGCTTAGGGTGTTAGGGTTTAGGGTTCAGGGTTTTAGGGTTTGTTGTATAGGGTTTATAATGTAGCAGGACCCCCCCCCCGCCCCCCCCACGGCCCCGTGAACGGAGGCCTTATGGCCTTATGGTCCTAGCTTAGGGTTTAGTGTTTATAGCTTCCATAAGGGGCTTCGGTTGTAGGGGGTAGGGTTGATTTTCGGAGATTGAACAACTCCGGTAGGTATGGCAGCCATGTTGCATGGGTTGTAGTCGAGTCTTATTAGTTTCTAGGGGTGCTTATACGATTTTACTCGGGTTGCAACAGGGTGTATAGAAAGTAGTCGAGTGTTATAGGTGGTGTTTACTGATGGCGGTGGGGTTTATAGTCACGGTTTCGGGTACATTCGGGTACATCGTAGTATTAATTCATGTTACCTGCTGTCCAAACATCCCTTACATGTTTGAGGATATACCTAAGAAGCGCCAGCAAAAGGTATCCTGGAAAGGTGGAGGTCGAGACGGTCTAGACATTTGTATCCAGATCCCAAGCCTCAAAACCCGACACCTCCCAACACAACCCCAAACCCTAAAAATCACCTATAGCTCTAAGCCCATAAACCCCAAACACGAAGCACTAAAAAAATACATAAAGCTCTAAGCCCCTAAGCCCCAAACACGAAGCAACACAGAACCTAAAATCCCATTGCAGGCACGGCTCCCCCAACAGGCGGGATCCAAGCCGAGAGCGGCGGAACTCTCTCCGCGGCCGGCAGAATTTGCCTTTGACCGCCCGTGACTTGGATTTCTTAGGGGGACTTAGAAATTTGAAATAATTTTTAATTTTTTGATAATATAATCCCCAAGAAACAGCTAAAATGTTAATTTTTGCTGGGGTTCTATTTTCAGTATAGATGTGTTTTTTGCTCGCACTTACAAAGCCCTCAGAACAATTGTAATATAGGGGCCTAAATCATTCATTACCGCTACCATTTTGGTGGTTGTTCATAAGAATTATAGTAGAATGGCCCCCAAACCCTATTCTAATTAATGAGGCCCCTATAGTTTTCGAATCTCGTCTCACGCCTTGTGCTAGGGACGCAGATTCTCTCACGTCGCGCTATAAACTTTTTGGGTTCCGTTATCTGTTAGAAGCTGCCCCCACCCTGTAATAGTGGTATAATAGGAATATAATAGGGCCCTAATATAATCCTTATAGTCACTATTACAGCGTGGGGGCGGCTTCTAACCTAAACCACAAAAGGCTGGTTGCTAAAAGTATGGCCCCTTTTTAGGTACCTTAAATAGTATGTACCGTATTATATTAGGTATCTACATGGTAGTTCTTGAGCTTTTGTCGGCTTGGGTGATGGGAGAAGAACGGTCCGGCTTTGGGTTTAGGGTGCTAGTCTTTACCCATAGGCTCCATAGTAGTTCCTTTTGCGGACTACCTTGTAGGATTCTAAATATGAACCACAAGAAGGAACTACTATGGAGCCCTCGGGTATAGGGTTTGGGGCAAACTAGGACCCAGAGTAGGCCCTTATGGCCTTTTTAGGGTTCAGGTTCCCTTATCAACCCCTTCAAACCAAAAAGGACACCCCTTTCTGTTCCTGGGTTGCTCTTGGGTCTAGTAAGTAATTGTCCTCTAAAGGGTCGTCACACTACTACTACTACTACTACTACTACTACTACTACTACTACTACTACTACTACTACTACTACTACTACTACTGTTACCGCTGCTACTATCACTACTATGCTTCATGTCTTCTCCAAGTTTAGAGAGTTAAGGTATCGCTGCATTATTTTTACGGCTTATAGGGTTGGTTTGTTGTGTATTCTAAAATGGGAGTTTCCGAACATAGAGGACCCTAGTATAGTACACTAAATAGGAGGACCGTTATGATAAGGGCTCCCAAATAAGGTACCCCTAATTTGCGGAAACTCCCAAATATTTCGATGATATTTGAGGGGACAGCCCAGGTGAGCCCCGCCATCGCAGGGGTCCAGATCCGGATGGGGATTTGATCACCACCATCACCTTTGGAGCAGAACCTTGGTAGCTGAGTGGATACACTTTTCATTTTTTGGGGATAATATTACGCACAATAAAGCAAAGAGTGTACACTTTTGGGGGCTAATTATGAATTCAGCAACTAAGGAACGGACGGAGGGCCGGACGACGGCGGAGACCCCGGAATCCAACCTTCCAAGCTTGACCCCTCCTCCAACCGCCAATGCTGCGGAGACTTGGCTGATGTTGGGTGCTCTGTGTTTTTCGCTGTGGTCCTTCCCAAAGGGTCCAAGTACCATTATAGTAGGTCTTTGGCCCCCAGAGTATAGACTATACCATTACTTAACCTTTAAACTTTTTGGGTTCTTGTATTTGAGTAGGAATCGGAAAGTTTAACCTTTCATTTCTGTGGCTTAGTGATGTGTTAAGTTAGCCCTCCCACTTCTCTGAATTGAGGCTTGAGTGTTTCGACTGAAAGGGATCCATTGCTTCAAACTCCCCAACCAGAACCCAAACCAAACCAGGACCCTCAAACTCAACCCCTAAGGCACATGCTTAACCTTTCCACCCCGGTCCAAAAACAAATTTGCACTTAAATGAAAATGCTGAGAACCCTAATGGCTAGTCGCCGAACACCCATTTCCAGGAGAACACAGCACATCATATACGCCTGTAAAGCCAAAGCCCTGCAAATCCTAAACCCCGCAACCTAAGCTCTAAAGCCCCACATTTCAATGAAAAAACCTGAACCCTACCTGTAGTCTCCATTGTAGTTCCTTTTTGGGGCGTTTATTTTATAGAACCCTAATTATGACACTGGTTAAAGTTAAACCAAAAAAGGGAACCAAAATGGAGACAGCAGGTACATGCTGAAAATGGCCCAAAAGCCTTATATGGTATGGTCTTTGGGCCCAAAAACCAACCCTAAACCCTAAACCCTAAACCGTAATGAGTCCTTAAAGCCTTGGGGTAAACTCCAAAACTTCCAGGAGAAGGCGCGCTCTGAGTCCCCGGCGCTGAAGCTGAGCCCAAGGCATTTCCTGCGCAAGGGTGCCGGCCTTGCCACACAGGCCCTTCCTAGTGCTGCCCATCTCTCCGTAGATGTATTAAATTATATATATATATATATATATATATATATATATATTTTATAAGGAATATATATGCACACATACATACTACACTTATAAATGCACATAAATAAATACATACATGTACTTATGTATGTATCGTGTATGTATGTATGTATGTGCCATCAAAACAATGGTTAAGTTAAACTCTCGAATCATTCTGATCATGAGAATAAAAAATCACGGTGAAGGTGATCAGGCAGGATGTGTATGTATACATATATATGTATATATACATTTATTTATTTATTTACATGTGTGTTTATGCATACATGTATGCAGATGTATGCATGCATGTATGTAATCATGTGTCTCTCCGTCCGTCCGTCTGTATGCATGTGTGTGTATGTACGAAGCCAACAAAGTGGCTTCAACATGGTGCATAGCGTTCTTTGCCCGGATGCTACCAATAACTATACCAATAGAACAGTACCAATATGATAACAAGAGTAATGCACATATTGTTCTTCTAGTCGTGCGAATAGTAACCATCATAGTATATAGTACTCGGCGACGACGACTACTACCAGTAAGAGATATATCAGTAAACACCAGGAGAATCGGCAATCATACGAGCATTACAAACAAAAGTAGGGCTACAATAGCACTTGCCATTATGGTCGACAGTCTGTTACTACGTAGTCAGACTACTACGACAACCACTGCCAGGTAGTGATTTAAACATGCAGGTACAATTGAAAGTGCAAAGTATGTAAATATTTGAGACTATGTGGACCAGAGTCGATGTAGGCCTAGACCTGAAAAGTTAACCACCATAACACCCCAACAGCCCAATCCATAACACCCGACTGCAAAGATTCCCAGAACCCTGAAGCTGCAACACGCTGAAGAGCACCTTCTGTTACCAGGAGGCTGTGGCCGCTGTGAATCGCCAGCGCTTCGGGCGCCGGCAGCCGCAGCACGAAGAGGTCGAGGAGGTGAGCTGGTGGTCGGTTGCTTTGTCTTCAAGGGTCAACACAGCTTTCAAAGGGCTCATTGAAGGGTTCCTTGAAGTGTTAATACAGGCAGCTTCGGATTCGATTGTATACTATACGGGTATATTGGCATTGGGAGTAGTAATTTTGTTTGCAACCGTTGTCATTGCTATAGTTATGCTGCAAAGCCAGCTCATGGTCAGTATTCACATAAGACGCCTTAAGCCTTCTTGGCCTTCGGCAGTCATAGGCTTACCCCCACTCAACACCTCAACGCAAGCCAAGGCCTCAGTTGCAGCTGCAAGTACGTGTACCTGGACCCTAAGGAGCCTGCCTTTTTAGGGTTCCCTAGTATGATTTCTTGATATACGTCCTTAAAAATGTAGGTTCTTCGGGGTTAAGGTAGGAGTTCAGGGTTTTAGGTGTTCGATTTCTGGGTCCCAACAATCATCGTCAACATTGTAGCAATGTTAACTGATGGCAATATGTAAGTACTACCTGGACCCCAAAAGTACGTGGAATAACCGCCTTGTATATATAGGTATTGCACCATTGTTGTTCCTACGCTTCAGGGATTAGGTATCCTGGAGATACTTGAGAATGTAGTAAGTGCTATCTATATCTTATATATATATATAAGTTTTATATAGGTAGTATCCTGGAGGTGAGCCCTCCCAGCAGACCGCCTCTGCCGCACATCAACCAGATCACTTCCGAGCGAACTTCTCTGCGAAGGCTGGGTTTGAACAGGGCCTCCTTTCGGGCCCTTGACGGGTTCCTTTAAGGGCTTCTTGAAGGGTTCCTTTAAAGGGTACTTTCAAGGGTAGTATCTTTATTAGGGCTTTAGGGGTTTAGGGTTTAGGGCCCTCTAGAGATTAGGGCTTTCGGGGTTTTAGGGTGTAGTGGCTTTGGGCTTACGACTTTGGGTCTGAACTCGCGATCGAACACTCGTTGTACTGTAGTAGCCTGATTAGCTTTTTCGCTGAGTGTATACACTTTACACTTTTTGGGATAATATTAGCCACTATAAAGCTGAAAGTGTACACTTTGGGGGCTATGAACTCAGCAACTAGGTTAGGAACCCGATCTGTGGCCGTGAAACGCCCTCTTAGAAACTCTAAAGGGGCCCTTAAGCTTTAGCGGGAGCCGCGCTAGCATCCTTAGTCCTAGAGCCCTTTTGCGAATCCTGATGCAAGCTCTCATGGAGCCCTGGAGATTATCCTCATTCCTAAACGCTTTCAACCCAAAACTAGCAAGCCCTGAAGCGCTAAACCGAAAGCCCCGAAACCCTTAAGCACCAAATCCACATCCAGATGCCCTACACACCTAAACCCCTCAGCTCAAACCCAAAAAAACTTTAAAGCCCTTACAGAAACCCTTCTTTTGGCCAGTTAAAGTATAGTACACCCCCAAACCCCCATTCTGATTCGAAGTCTTATGGCCCCGGTTGAATTATAGACCCCTAAATCCTAGCCCCATAAGCCCTAAACCCCTAAACCCTAAAACCCTAAACCCCTAAACCCCTAAACCCCACACCCTTTTTTGGGCCCAGTGCTTTGCAAGAGCTGAGGCCAAGCATGGGCATCCCGACGATCGAGCTGACCAGGCTTGTCGGGTTTGGGGGTTTATGGCTCCTTTAAGGGGATCTACAAGGGCTCCTTACAGGGATCTATAAGGGTTCTATAAGCGGTTTGGGGGTTTAGAGGTTTAGGGGTTTAAGGGTTTGGTGGTTTTAGGGTTTAGGGGTTTAGGGTTTAGAGGTTTAGGGGTTTAGGGCGTCGGGTTTGGGGACGGAGGCCTTCAGGGCTTACCTAAACCCCTAAATAACCTGCCTGTCTAAGGACAAGCAAATTCGATATTGTTCAGGGTGGGTTTAGTCGCTCCGGCCGTTAAGGCTTAGGCTGTTTGGGTCTACCTTAACCCGGAATATCCTACCTTTTTCAGGACTTGTAGAAGGAAAGCATAAGAAGGAGCCCTAAAAAGGTAGGTTATTCAGGGTTAAGGTAGGGTTTACGATACGGTTGTAAGCTCAGGTTTTTGAAACCTTGAGGCTATTTCGGGCTTCGAAGGGCCGTGGTTTTCAAGCTTTGGATTCCAGGGCCTTCGGATTTAGTAAACCCCTAAACCCTAACCCGAGACCCCTAAACCCTACCTGGACCCTAACTAAGGAACCTGCCTTTTTAGGTTTCCGTAATATGATTTCTTTATATAAGTCCTTAAAAAATATAGGTTTTTCGGGGTTAAGGTTAACCCTAGACCCCTAAGCCCCTGAAGCCCTTAAGCCCTAAACTGTAAGCCCCAAGGGGCTCAGGGTTCCAAAGGGCTCAGGGTTCGAACTGGCGAGGCTTGGCACGGATAGCGACGTCCTGCCGGCTCTGCAGCGCACCCCTTCCTCGACGCTTGTCTCGATTCGAAGATCAGGCGTGTGGGGTTTTGGGGCTTACGGTTTAGGGTTTAGAGATAATTGAACTGTACTTTTCCTGACAGTTCCGTCTCATATGTACTGTATAAGGCTCAAAACCCCGGACTAAAAGCACATTCTGAGGCCCCTGTCTTAGACGGATTTGTCTAGAGACTGACAATCTGCTAAGGCCCCCATCTGCAAACCCTGCTCCTGGCCTTGGGCTTCGGGTGTTCCCAGAGACTCCAATATCCCTTAATTAAGGAATATTCCTTGAAATATAGTAGGATCCCGAATATGATATAAGGAATATTCCTTAATTAAGGGATATTGGAGTCTCTGGGTTCAGGGTCTAGGATTTAGGGTTCAGGGCTTTACGGGTTTAGAGTTATTAGGGCTTGGGACTTTTCGGTTTTCCCTTGGACCAGAGACCAAGTCATGAGCAGCCAAGGAACCACTCCCCTATGGACCGTGTGGTCTCGCACCTGTCGCAGGCACCCAGCGGCAGGGCCGAGATTGGTCACAAGCTGCCACAGTGGTTCCTTTTGGCGGTTCATCCATCCTAAACCCTAGACCCTAAACCTTAAACCCTAGACCCCTAAGCCCTATACTCCTATACTTTCAATGTCAAGGCCGCTGAGTTAGGTCCTCGGATAGTCTGCCAGGGCTTGATCCGAAGATACGGTTCTTCTGCTTGCGATACTAACGAACATCGGCCCATAAGCTCCATAGTATTTCCTTTTTTGGGATTACCTTGTAGGGTTCTAAGATTTTGTCCATCAGCAGTAGTATTTCCTTTTTGGGATTACCTTATAGGGTTCTAAGTATGAACCACAAGAAGGGAACTACTGTGGAGGTTTAGGGTAAGCACAGCTCATGATGCTGAGACCCAGGGATGGCTCAAGACGACCGTGGGGTCACTGTGCTTCTTCTTCCCAGCTGTCAAAACTGGGCGATCCGTGAGTCTTTAAAACTCCCAACCCTTACGCCGAAACCTCAGACGCCCTCAACCTTAAACACTAAACCGTGTCTTATAAGCTAAGAACCCGTAGCCTCCGTCTAGCAGCCTCAACCCTCAGTGTCCGATAGTTTCTACCTAGTTGAAGAAACCCACAGGGTCTTAAGTAGCCACATAGTAGCAAGCGGGGTTTCCACTTTAGGAATTACTAGTCTTCGGGTAAGCATCCCCATATAGGTGTTTAGGACCCTTTAGGGCCAAAGGACCCTTTAGGGCCAAAGCTCAGGTGACAGCATCGCTTGGCCAGACAGTGCCAGCTCAGCGGCAGATGACCCAACCTCTCCCACACGCTTGCTCGACGCCTTCGATGGGCTCTCTCCCAACAACGGCCACGCCACGACGATCAACGTGCATCCCGGCTGGAGAACCACCTATTGCGAGTTTAGGTTTTTGGGGTTGTTGTTTGTTTCCATGACCTGTGCAAACTACATCCACGTCGAAGTAACCCTGCGATCCTGCTTTTCCAGGCCCCATCCCCCATACACGCTGTGAGCATTCGACACCCGATGTTTGATAGCTGCTCCAGAGCGGGTTCCACTGTTTTAGGGCATGTGGAAGTTAGATAGCAAACGCCTCTTTGGCTTCGACGCCAAAGCGTCACTGCCGGATTGCCCCTAAATCCCAATGTCAATTCCCTTAGGCATTGAACTTAATGCCGGAAGACCCAGGTGGGTTCAGGAACCGGAACGGCGCGGGATCTCCGCGATGCAGTTCGAGCGCTTCTTCAACCGCTTCTGTGGTGATGTGATCTACGAGGACAACTCATTCGGGTTTATGAAGGCTTCAGGGCTGTTACTTAATTCATGTGTTACTTGTTCAGGGGAAAGCAAGAATAATTATTCGGAGGGGTTTATGAAGCAGCAATAGTAGGAACGCCTTTAAGGCCAAATTATATACAAGGCCCTTACGGTGGGGGAGCAGACAGGAACGGAGGATCACGGCTATTTTATCCCTTGCCTGCTCCGCCTTGAAACGATGGCAAGAGTGGACTTATGCTTTGGGGTTTAAAGGGAGCTCCAGAAAGTTGGAATATGGTTTCTTGGTAGGATACCCTATAATTTACCATAGAAGGGTCAGGATAATCATATTCCAACTTTCTGGCTTTTACCTTAAGGTGTACAGAGTCGACATAAAGGCAGCCAGCCCGCCTTTCATTCAACCGGAACCCTAAACCCCTTAACTCTAAACCCACCTCCCTTGAGGCCTCATGCTTTACAACCAAAATCCGGTGTTCTAAACCCTAAACCCTAAACTCCTAAACCCTAAACCCTAACCCCTAAACCCTAAACCCCAACCCCTAAACCCTAAACCCAAACGCCGGACTGGAGACATGAAACCCCTAAGCCCTTGAAGCGATCCACAAAGGATCTGGAAGAACCGAAGCCACTGTGCCTGCCGACTACGCTGCTCAGTTTTGTTGACTTCGGTGGGGCATGAAGGCGGTTTGGATATAGGATTTCTGGCGCTGTTTTCCGTCTAGTACTACTACTACTACTACTACTACTACTACTACTACTACTACTACTACTACTACTACTACTACTACTACTGTTACTACTACTACTACTACTGTTACTACTACTACTGTTACTACTACTACTACTACTACTACTACTACTACTACTACTACTACTACTACTACTACTACTACTACTACTACTACTACTACTACTACTACTACTACCACGAATACCAATCCTACCTCCAATGACTACCTCCACTTGCAGCTATAAACCTCTACCATAGCCCCCCGAAACCTGCTGTTTTGCAGCCTATGGACAAGAACCCATAAAAAGTAGGTTTTGGTAGGTTCAGGTCTAGTAAACCGAAACCCCCAGTCGTAAACCTTCAAACTCCCTTAATTTGGTAGCCTCAAAACGCTCCTGAAGCATCCCGACCGGTATGCTATCCTTGTAGTACAATTACAGTATCCTTACAGCACCATAATCAAGAGTAACCGTGTAATATCACAGAAAAGGGAGACCTTCCCAAATCCCTTAATTAAGGATTATCCCTTAAATCATATTAGGGACCCTATTCTCATTCAAGCTTTTTCCTTAATTAAGGGATATTGGAGTCTCTGGCAAGTAGGTATCCGAAAAGGAACCTTGACATCTGAGGCTCTGCCAGGCCTGCGTGCAAGCCAATCGTGCGGACCCGGAGGTGAAGAATCGAAGCAAGCGTCCCAGGCACGGCTTTTGCTCTGAACACCAAAAACCCAAGACCTTGCGTAATACACCCTCTACATCACAAACTCTGAAATCTTCAAGCCCGTCCCAGGCGCGTTTTTCTTGGGGCTTTGGGGTTCCTTAAAGGGCTCCTTCGGGGGAGGGTTTAGGGTTAGGGCGTCCTTAGAGGACTTAACGTGTACTACAAGGGTAGTGGATTGTTTTCAGGGTTTAGGGATTAGAGTTTATGGCAGGGGCAGTTGTATAAGGTTTTCATGGTGTTTTGAAGGCTGCGCCGACATTTTTTAAAGTTGTGTTTGATTATACGGGCTTGGAAGTGGTTTGTTTGCACAGGCTGTGTTTCAGGATCTTGTAGCGGTTTCATGCGGGTTCATCAGGGGTTATTTATGAGGTTATGACTCACTGGTCTTTTGTTGCTTTTTGATTTAGCGGTTTAGGGTTATAGGCTTCTTCTCTTGACTACTACGACAACTAGTTTCTCATGCAGAGATGCGCCCTTGCTGCTGCTGTTGCGTGATGGTTGGTGCTTCTAAGCCCACAGCTCTGAACCAACGGCGAGAATTCTTGAGCCGGTGAGACTGGCAAGTCCCAAGCCCGAATCATGCAGTGTACAGGCTGAAACAACAGTCTGACAGATGGACAGACCGATGGATCAATGGATCGTTAGATCGGCGGATGGATAGATCGATGGATAGGATAGATCGACAGGTCGGTTGATAGATATATAGAGATGGAGAGCGAGACAGCGAGAGGGAGAGGGAGAGAGACAGAGAGAGAAATAGACAGACAAGATAGACCGAGGCGGATAGGTAGATAGGTAGGTAGATAGATACACAGAGAGAGAGAGAGAGAGAGAGAGAGAGAGAGAGAGAGAGAGAGAGAGAGAGAGAAAATAGAGTTTAGTATACAGGCACATGGCCTACTTTCTAGGGGTCTTTGGTTCTCGACACAATGTAGAACCTTACGCTGCACCTCAAAGAGTCCCCCCCCCCCCCCCCCCCCCCAAACCTCAAAAAACCAGAAGCCCTCGAGCTCGGAGCCCCAAACCTGAGAGTCAAGTACTACAGGGGCCTTAATAATTTACCTATACTACTGCTGATGGACAAAATCCTGCATTACCTGTTATAATAACGAAGATACCATAATTCCCATAGTATAGAGTCCTTAGGGCCATGCAGGATTTTATCCATCAGCAGTATTGTGGTGGGTTCCGTATTTATAAGTATAGCCCAAAGCCCCGTTCTAACTATTCAGGCCCCTTATACCCTCAACCCTAGTAGGGTTTAGGGTTTAGGGTTTCATAGAATCATTCAAGGAGCCCTCTAAAGGAACTGTAAGGAGCCCTGTAAAGCGACCTGTAGCATTGCTCCCAGGGAGACGAACCTCTACGCTGTCACCGAGCTTCTTGGCAATAGCCTAGGGCTCCATAGTAGTTCTTTTTTTGCGGCTCATATGCAAAGTCCTATAAGGTAATCCCAAAAGGGAACTACTATGGAGACTGTGGGTAGTAGTTCAGGGGTTTATAGGGCATCATACCGGGCAGCGTGTTTGGAAACGCATGCCTTGATGTTTGCTTCATGAGCTGCTTCATGGTCAGTAGGATCAAGATTACGAAGTGAAGTTCTATCCTGGGGTGTTGCTCACCAAGTATTGACCCCCCTTGTCCCCTAAACCCAAGGCCTAATCTGGGAGTTTCCGAAAATAGGGGACCCTAAGAAAAAAACTTAAATGGTAGGATCCCTATTATGAGCACCCTCAAATATGCTACCCCTCATTTTCGAAAACTCTCGAATCCCTGAACCCTTCTTCCCGTGGTTTTTCCACTGGAAGCCCTCAGACCCCAAACCCGAAACCCTAAACCCCTACACCCCAAACCCACCCTGAACCCCAAACCCTAAACCCACCCTAAACTAAACACTAAACCTTGAAATCCACCTTAAACCCGTAAACCCCAAACCCTAACCCTAGACCCCTATACCCCTAAGCCTTAGGCTCATCATCAAGCCAGAGACTGCGATGCTGGGCGTGTCCTATTCTGAGCTGATCAACCCAGGCCCTCCGATGAAGGTTTCAGGATTGCCCTACATACAGGCTCCATAGCAGTTCCTTTTTGGGGTTCGTATTTAGACTCCTATAAGGTGCAGTAATCCCCCAAAAGGAACTACTATGGAGCCTATGGGTACGAGTATAAGTACAGTAACTTTTAATCAAATACTCGCCCCGTAATACTAGCCCACGTCACCATGCCAAAAGCGAAGTGGCTAAGTCGTGTGTATTTTGGACCCATGGGGTTACCGACTTATCTTCCGGGATGCACGAACATGTGAACATCAGGGGACTTAGAAAGTAGGGTCGTGGTTAGCAGCTATACCCCCGAGTAAGGTACTTGGGGGACGACCCTTGTGTCAAGCGAGATTCGGACATTTGGCTTTCGCGGCTTAGCAGTCTCCGGTTGGGAGCGGTGTTCTGACAAACCCCTAAACAATGGTACAACAAACAAACAAACAAACAAACAAACAAACAAACAAACAAACAAACAAGTAAACAGACAAACAAGTAACCGGCAAATTCGTTTCATGCTCCAACATGATTATACATTCCTGAACTAAAGGGTGTCTGGGCATACTGTAGCCTGAACAAAGAGGAACCCCTCCCAGGCCGAAGTGTATTTGCCTGGTTACTTATCTCCTCAGGGCGCAAGTGGGTTTGAGATTTATGATGGAAGGTTCAGGGTATGGGTTGACTGGCCTGAACCCTAAACCCATCCCTAAACCCTAAAGATCCCTGGAAGATGGCCTGCAAGTGGACTACTTCATCTCGCACCATTGGGCAGAAGATTTCGGTGAGTTCGTGCAGAGCGTTTTGCAGCTCCGCCCGATTTGAAGTTTGGGGCTTGGATTCTTCTGTCAGTTGATGGACGTCAGGTGCCGAGGGTTTGTATCGCTTTAGCAGGCGCTGGCTGGGTCTTGCAGGCTTTAACAAGGTTTAGGTTTTACGGTTTATGGTGGGATGATGTGGCTTCCGTGTTTTGGATTCAGGTTGTGCATCTTTCGGCTAGGCCTCTTTGGGTTTCTCGTTTCGTTTCGTATCTTCTGAGTCTTGTGCTAGGAGCTAGAGTAGGCCCTTGTTCCCTTTTTGTTATGGTTCAGGTTCCCTTGAAAGCCCCTTTAAACCAAAAACGGCACCCTTTTTGCTCCTAGGTTGCTGTTGGGTCTAGTGCGTGGCTTGCGTGGGCTACGAGGTCCCAGCGCTGTTGTGTCAATAGCGGCTTCTGCGAAACCCTAAACCCTGAACTCTGCGAAGTTTCGATCCCTAAACCCTGGGCCCTACCCGAGACCTCCATAGTAGTTCCTTTTTGTGGTTCATACTGTTTAGAGTCCTATAATGTAATCCCAAAAAAGGAACTACTACCCCTAAACCCTAAATCCTACTGGGGTTCAGGCGGCACGCCATCGTCGCAGCTCCCGAGATGGGTGGGCTCATGGAGTGGACTTCAGTGGTTTATTGGTGCTGCGCCTTTGCCAACAACCAGCACCGCGGCACTCTCAAAGGGGCTACAGGGTTTAGGGGGTTTAAGAAGGGGCTGGGGTGTAGAGTTTGGGAATCCAGGTGAATGTGCCTTAAACCGTTAAACCCTAAACCCTAAACCTTAAACCCTAAACCCTAAACCCCAAAACCCTAAACCCCAAATGCTGGACAGTGGCCGTGGCCCCCACGAACACAGCTCAAGGGCCGAGGTGCGGACGGCACAAGTTGAGAGCCTCCTTTTGTAAAGGGAACCTCCATCAGTTTACAGTCCTGACAAGTGAAAGAGCATCTGCAAACCCCCCAAAATCCTGAACCGACGGTTTAGGGTTTAGGGGTAACCTTACCCCTGAATAACCTACCTTTTTAGGGCTTCGTATTATGATTTCCCTATAAAAGTCCTGAAAAGGTAGATTATTTGGGGTTAAGGTTTAGGGCTTAGGTCTTAGGGATCTTGAGGCCGTGTCCCCAGAGACTCCAATATCCCTGAATAAAGGAATAGACCTTACCCTAAGGGTCCATGTACCCACATAGAGATACATGAGCCCCAAAGTACCAACATAGGGACTACTTTAAGGCCAATGTATATACTATATGAGGACATGGACCCTTAGGGTTAGATTATAGTAGGAGCCCTGATATGATTCAAGGTAATTACATTGCTGAATTAAGGGAAAGTGGAGTCTCTTTGTGCAGACTTGCTCACTGAACTTGAGGTTAGCCGTAAGAGCAGTTTTCTGGCCTGTTGATGTTGAACGGCCAACGCAGCCGGACTTGCGCATTTCAATCTTCATCCAGAAGAAACTAGAGTTTAGGGTTTAGGGGTTAAGGCTCAATCCCTAAACCCTAAACCCGTTAAGCTTAAGGGCTGATATGGTTCAGGGATCCGTTTTTGGGGTTTAGGGATCTTGAGTCCTAAACCCTATTAAACCCTAAACCCTATAGACCCTAGACCCTAAACCCCATAGTCCCTAGACCCTACACCCTAAACCCTATAAACTCTCTGTCCAGCGGAGGCACCAGGTCGAACTGGGCGAGACCTTGCAGAAGAGTCCCTTCTACCTGGCTCTGAACTCGAAGAACTGCAGGGGCACCGTGATGAGCCACGGCTGCAGGGGTTTAGGTTTAAGTAGTTTAGGGTTTAAGGAAGTTTAGTGTTTAGGAAGTTTAGGGTTTAGGATGTTTAGGAAGTATAGGGTTTAGGAAGGTTAGGAAGTTTAGGCTCTAGGAAGTTTAGGAGGTGTAGGGTTTAGGAAGTTTAGGAAGTTTCGGGTTTAGGAAGGTTGGGGTTTCAAAGTTTCGCTTTTCGCCCGAAGCCTAAAGCCTAAACACGACCGCCCACACCGTCCCATCGTGCTGCCCCTGAGCCCGCAAGTTCTACGCCTCACAGCCTGCAGACATGAGAGTCGTTAATGTAGGAACCTGATTAAGAAACCCTGGGCCTATAACACCAGAATAGTAGGATTCATAAAAGGAGCCCTAGCAAAGGCCCTACGTTTCTTGGGCGGGTTCCTACATGATCATTGGGGGACCGGTCTTTGGAGGAGACTGGTTCATACCTACAGTCCCCAAAGAAGTTCCTTGTTGGGGTTACCTTGTACGATCCCAAGTATATACTGGTTTTAGAAAAAGGAACTCCGCTGGAGACTACAGGTAATGTAAGGGCCTTAATTAAGGTAATTTCAATACTACTGTCCGGGCTCCTTATTGCAATGCCAGTAAAATGGGCACCAAAACCCTATTCTGGTGATTAAGGCCTCTATAGTCGGTATCCGCCGGGTCGCTGGAAGGGACACTCTATGATGGGTTACCACACGGGTTTGCGTCTTGCAGGCTTCTAGGGTGTATAGGGCTTAGGGTTTCAGGGTTTAAGGGTTCAGGATTTAGGGTTTAGGGCTTAGGGTTTCAGGGTTTAAGGGTTTAGGACCGGTTTTTGGCCAGAACTCGTTCAAAGCACAGCTCTTTTCAAAGCCTTATTCACAGTTCTGGTCGGGATTTCTTTCGTACGTTCCTACAAACTGTGCGATTCTTGCAGCACTCCTAAACCCCTTAACCCCCAAACCCTAAACCCTCCTGGAGAATGGTTCGTAATGGAAATAAACATAACGAACTATTTCCACGCGAAGTCCAGCAAAAGTACGCGGGCTTAGAAAAGTACTCGGAGTCCAGGAAATGTGTTCGAGGTTGTTTTGCCAGTATGTTCTCGGGCATATGGGTGGCTTGCAAGCTAGATTTAGTATACCTTGGGGTTGAGTAGAGTACTAGATACGATCATATGACATCGTACAATGTAAGGCCTACATCTCTACAAATAAGCTTGGGGGTTTGCTCTAAGGCCTGTCAACCCCTAAACCGTGAACCCTTTGTTGGCCCTGGGGGTTTATTTTGATCTTAGGCGGTACCATAACCTAGATAACCGTATAGATCCCTTAAACCCTTTTGCAGCAGGCCTCGTTGTCCATCGTTGTCCAGCAGCCCGGTCCGAGCGAGTCACCCCTTAATCCCTTAAACACTCCTTAAACCCTAAACCCGTATCGCCCCTGGAATCCTCACAGCACACAGTGCACACGATCTCTTTCCACGACAGCGACGTCGATGCGACCTTCATACGCCCGGAGCTTACTCCAGAAAGCGCAGCCACTGTCTTCGGTATTGAGATAAACATCGGGCAATCGTTCGGGGAACCACTAGCCACTGGTGACATCGTCTAGACGACCTTGACACACGACCGACCCAATCCTCATCAGTCCAGCAACTCCAGCCTAAGTGACGAGCGATGCTAATGATGTCAACATCGATGCTCATGCATGCACTATAATTGGCAAGGGGCTCATCGTATTGAAGACCCATTCACAACCGTTGTCGATCGGCCATTGGAGCTCCAGACTTAGATGCACCAGAAAGAGCGAAGCCCATCGCCCATCTATTGCACTCGATGATGATCGATATGCTAAACGGCCTAGTGTTCGATAGACCGATAAGTTTGCTGAACTGCAACGAAGGCACACCAAATGTGCCTGAAGATGCATCTTCGGCCGCAGCCGAAACAGACACCATTTTTTCTCTGCCGCCATTCTTGCCAAATGGTGGTAGCCTTCCTGGGAAACTGCCAGACAAGCTTTAGATGGCTGAGTGAGAGGCGTGAATAAGAGAGGAGGAGAGAGAATCAAATTTGTGGGTCATTTTGCATGCACATAAACCATCCAAGGGTCTAGCATCTTCCAGCCACACTCTACTGCCGTCACAGCTTCAGATCTTGGAAGGAAAAGTCCACCCCGATAAAGCACCCGAAAGTAGGTGTTCACGGCTTGCAAGGTCCATCGCAGCAGCTTGAAGATTTCATGGTTGATGGGAGCCTCTAGATCGAAATACGAATCGCTTGAAATTCGGCTTAAGTACATTCCCCTGCCACATAATTAAGATCCGGCACAATCGTAGTGATATCGATGTCGAGGCAAAGGTTGTCCAACCACCCCAGCATGATCGAGCAATCATGCCCCTTCCCCATTCCAGCCGCGAACTGATTCAGCCTAAGTAGGAAACACCGGCCAACTGCTACACTGAACGGTAATGATCGATAGGGCATATATAGGGCATGAATATGCATATATATGCTGGCAACAAGGAACGAATCGATCTTCAGCATCTTCAGGCTAAACTCCGTAATGGAAGTGGTTTTTCCGTGAGATCGGCAATGGCCACGGAACCATTCGAAAGCACGGTCCAAGCAGGATGGAATCGTGGCGTCTTGGAAAACACCCAAACGAAGAAGGAGTAGCAGGCTCGAAGCGCCCAACGAGGTACCCCACCCGCTGATTGCATACGTGTGTGCAGGATCAGGTTTGATCCGACGAGGATTAGTACCGATTGTTGACAAACCTTGCAAAGGCCACTGTCCTCGCCAGAAAGGATCATCGATCGGGTCATCGCAACGAATGGATCGCACTGGGCTTTGTTTGGAGAGGTCGGCCCAGTTCTGGCATGGGGCACCACATAAAACAAAACAGGACACACCCTGGAACACTACTCTATCTGTGCACAACAGCAAAACTCGTACAAATAAGAACGAGAGTCGTCGCAGGAACATAGATGGCACACTCTTTTGGAAGTAAATCCAGAGTATAGGTGACAGCTCTTGCGTAAAAACGGCCAATCACCTTTGATGGCGGTGACCACCAGGTAGAGCCGATGCGTGACCCCATCAATTGTCACCTTACTTATCGATCGGTGTACAGTATATACTAGCTGAATTGCAATATATCTAGGTTAAGTACGTCTTATAATATATGCATGACATGTTGCATTGTATACCGAGAATATGACAAGCCACCTCGAGGCCTTCCTTGTAGAGGTTCTCTAGGTCTTCGGACAATGCATACAACAGTGTATCCAGAGTGTCGCTGGCATACATCTCACTCGGCACAACCGTGTACAGAAACCTGGTGCAATAGCTGTGCCTGTGATAGAATGGTTCTGCTCCAGCCAAAGTCAAGTACCAAAGTACAATTGAGCCCCAGCAACCCAAAGGCAAAATCCAACACTATAGCTAAACTTTAGCTAAACAAGCTTGTGCTAAATTCTGCTCCCGGCCCTGATGTATTTGTAACTGCCGGACCCAGGTAGCTGATCAATGTTTGCAAAGCGATGCACATAATAGGCCGCTTAGCCTTCCCTCGCCCCTCGTCCCCGTGGATTGCGATTGGTATGGATGTCCTTGGAAAGGGAATCTCGAACCCAGGCTGAGACCTCTGGAACTTGCGCCAGAAGTCCTCGAACATTCGCTGCCAGTCTGCGACCAAGCGGATATTGATTCCACCCAATAACACTTCACTGCAATGTTCCAACATGTACTGGGCCCAACTTGATGCTTGTAGCGTAGGATACTGCATGGTCTCAACTTTCGGTTTTCCCTTGAGCAGTCTCACTCGCGTAGGTATTGGTGTTACTTGCACTGGAAGAATCCTCCCCTGTTGATGCATCAGCTTGTGGAGATTCCGGCTGCAGTTTGCTTGAGATCTCCCACCAGAGCCACAAGAAGCAAGTTTGTTCAAGGCAGGGTCGGTGGCACCTTCGGTTCGGATTGGAATATAATTAAATCTGGTCTTAGGTTCCGGGCATGCACGAAAACCCTATCTATAAATCTGCTGCTAGATTGCACGATATGAGGCCAGGAGTAGCCCAAGCAAGCAAAGCCGTACCTAACTATCGAGCATATAATTTAGATCATATAACCAGTCACGATTATTAAAAAATCATCATTCGAATCGAGACACCATACTTCTTCAAAGCTCTGGAAGCCACTTGTGCCACACGAACCACCCGCTTGGCGCTGTCAACCTCGATCATATATATGCATAAGCCTAGCATATAGCCTAGGAACCCTATAGGACAAGCCTTTGAGCCAGGCAGCACCCTGTTCGAAGCCATAAAAAAGCTCATCCACCAGGTCATCATCATTCGACTCATCGTCGTCCGTTCCTGCGAGGCACAGGCCGGGGAAAGTGATGGGTTTTTTGTGCTTAAGGTTTGGGTGCCTCGGAATGTTTGGTTTGGGAATTTCAAGGTTTGGGCTATGGACTAAGTGTAGCTGATAAGCTTTCGGGCTTCAATCGAGCTACCGAGTTGGAGGTACTGGACACTATATAGGAGGATCTACACTGCGTATAGCTAGCTGGAAGTTTGGGGAGTAGGTTTATGGGTTAAGAAACATGCAAACTGGACTGTCCTTCGTTCACCGGCTCGGTGCCACGTGCCAGCAGCCCTGCGTGGGGGAAATTTGTATATACAGGTTCCATATCAGGTGGCCCACGGCCCACTAGTCACTAGCTCTCACGACAGATTTTGCGAACTCGAGCTGCCCATCAGCTCGAAACTAGAGCCCTCCACTTGCACACGATTGGTGCTCCCAGCAGATTAGAGGCAACTTGCACAGCAACGACATAAAGCTGAATGCCACGACTAGCTTGTGATTGTATCTTTATCGTTGCAAGGCCGCCTCGTGATGCCTATTGCATCGCAGAAAAAGCCAGCACTTTAAGCGCGGGACTTCTTACCACCTTTAGCAGCAGTCTTCTTCTTGGGGCTCTTCTTGGGCTTGGGCTTAACACCAGCAACAGATCTTGCACCCTTGATGCTCCTTGGGGGGCACATGCTGCCTGTTCAATGCACAAACGAGATCGCCATAGTTGCAGGTAAGATACCTGGCACGTACCGTCAGATTGTTCATCACAAGATCTTGCTTTGTGATGTTGGCGTAGAGCTTGAGCAAGGAATCGTTGAAAGCCCTGGGCTGGGTCGGGGTCGGGATTAAACTTGTACGGTGCTAGATAGGTCCGCTTCCCAGCCATGAATATCGGTACGAATTAAGACACGGGCTTATCAGGGTGCCGGTTGATGGCATCTGCTTGTTTGTTCTGCAACTCCTTGAAGAAGACTTTCAGAGCATTGAGCGACTCGTTGATTTGATCTTTGAGCCTTAGTTTCCAGGCCGATATTTCGATTTCTACATATCTATGCAAGCTCGCATGATGTATCCTAGATAATATAATTATATTGGAGAGGAACCCGGTAGCTCGTGCACCATCAGCGGCTGCCAGTTTCTCCTGCGATAATGCAACTTGAATTGGCTTTGTTCCAGAGCAATTGAGTGTGGAGGTTTCTGGGTTTAAGGCTTGGGGGGATTGGGGTTTTAGTGTGTTTTGGGGTTTTCCGGTTTTAGGGCTTAGAAGCTATGTTAGGGCTTAACACGTGTATGGTGCAAGCTGTTGGGGCTTAGGGGTTTTTGAACTCACGGTCCAAGGCATCTTCACTGCAATCGATTTTTTTGCCAAGAACCTCTAGGTACCCGGAGAGGATCGCCAACGGAGACGTGTTCTGCTGCAAGCTGGGGAAAGTCATCCTTAAGTTTGTCATTCGATCAGAAGCATGACTCCAACGAAACCAATTAATGCATGGAGCGGAGTGGAGCCAAGACACTTAAAGCTGGCAGCCGAGCTGAAAGACTCGAGAGCCTTCCCTGCATCCCCTGAACTTGCGGAGGCAGCACCGACTTTGCCAGCCAAGACATCCGCGTGGGAGGCGTGCACCGAGGGAAGCTCGTCTTGCAGGAGGAAGCCACTGTCGTCCTGAGTTGGGTTTGATGCTGAGAGAATTAGTCCGGAGTTGTGGGATTTAGGGGTTGAGCTTTACGAAGGTTGTGGTAGAGGCTACACTAGCAAAGGTCAATAGTGTAGCCTTAAGTTGAGCACCGTGGGCTTTATATGGGAGGCCTTCAGACTTATCATATATAGTACATGTACTACTAGAATCATAATCTGGGCACTTCCATTTCCACTGTCCCCGACATGTTCACCTCCTGGCCCTCTTCGTCGAGAAGTTCGAAATCTTCTGACAATACCAATTTCGCCTCTTCTTCACCGTGGATTTCGTTCTTTCGAAGAACTTTGTGCTCATGTGCCCAGACCCATGCTTTCTCCACCATGGGCCTGACTTCATGTATGTATACACAAAGCTGCATTTGGATGCACATGCTAGCAGTGAGCTAATTAAGTCAAACTGCCGCGTCCAGTGGCAGTGCCCCATCAGATAGGACTTCGTCACATAGCTACCGTGCTTGGCGAGCTTCTTTTTCTTCAGGTGGGTTTTGCGTAGGTTCATTTCCAGAACCTTGAAGTTCCCGTGCTTCTTCAAAAGCTCACGAAGTTGCTCCCCTCAGTGTTCTCATGTCCCGAAGCACACTACACGTACTAGTTAGTGCATGTCAGAATTGCTTCACACAGCCAGGTGTTGCGATCGTGTGGCGGCCGGCTTCGGATTTGTACATCGACAAGGCTTGCTCACTGCACTTGAGGGAGCCGCATGCCTTGGGTTCAAAGTACCGCCGCATCCTGCGATTGAAGTTACAGATCGACTATCGTTTGGATCCGATGATGTACACGTACTATAGATTATAATGTACTTCTGTGTCCTCCAGTAAGTAGGAGACTTTGAGCGCTTTCCTTTGGTTGCGGGGGCCGGCGGGGCCGCGTCACTCGCACTTGGGCCGGGGCTCGACTCATGGGAGTTGAGGCGGGTAGGGCCTGTGGTGGGCTTCGGGGAAGGGGCCTTGGCAGCCGGTGGGGAGGTCAGCTTGGCAGCTTTCGAGGGCCAGGGAACCCCAGGTTCAGGAACAGCTTCCTCAGCAGCAGCCGGCAGTGGCTTCTCCGGTGTCACGAAAGTACCCTTCGGCACCCTGCGTTGCGCATCCTCCACTGCACTGTCATAAGAGTCGAGGCTTGATGTTGTGGTGATGCTCTTGTTGAGGGCTCCCGTTGTGTCACCCAAAGCCACCTCGTGGTTCCCAGCAAGTTCATATGTGGAGGTCGTTCTGGCAATAGCGGGACCTAAGCGGTACCATATATAGAATGCATATATGTAACGTACATGTGCTCAACAAACACCCACCACTTGTGCTGCCAATGCCTGGAAGTGCTGCCTCACTCCGGGGCGATCTTGCCTTGGGCTCACGTGCTGCAATCTTGCTCTGCAGCTGATTGATCCGGGCTCTGGCAGCCTGGGCTGTTTAGGATCATACCCCACACATAACCCAAACAAAGCCAAGCCTATGTATAGGACATAATTCAGACAGGGGACAGCAATCATAGCAGATACATCTTGGGAAGCATTTGGGGCCATGGTGTTCTGGGCCAAGAGAGGAATCCCTGCTAAAAGGGTGCCACACGAACCTTGTCGCGTAGTCATAGGCAGTCTTAGCTGCAAAATCTAGATCCTGCGAACAGACAAACAACAAGCAAGATCCTGGCATGTAAGGCATATAGTAGCTAGCACATAGATACAATCAACAGGCAGCGTCGACCCCTGCATCAAAGTGCTCTTTGCTGGATACCGCAAGCAGAATCAAGCCGTTCCAGTCTGTCCCTAGCTTCTATACAGCCAGACTAGTGAAACAGCTCTGAATTGCACGATTCTCTAGGGCTTCGGGTGATTTGGTGAGTTTGGAGTAGTTTTAGGATTTGGGTTTGTTATGGTTTTTGGGTTTGCGCACGGTTGCGGGTATTTGCGCGCGGGTTGCGGTTATTTGCGCTCGGATTGCGGGTAAATCTGTTCGAGCATTTTTGCTAAAACAGGATCCAGCACCCAAAACCGAAAAAAAGCATCTACAGAAGCTAAACCAGCCAGCCGGCACCCAAAGACACCTACCTGGCCTTCTAATTAAAGCCCCAAGACCCTGGCCACAAACCTGCCTCAGGGACCTGGTGGGCCCTTCAGAGGCCTCTCAGAAGGGGCCGGGAGCCTGAGCTGCTGCATCCAGGGCAGCCCGGAGGGTTTTGGAGCCACAAGCCTGGAGCTTCTGTCTAGATCTGCTGTATAGTTAGGTTAGGGTCCGGGTTTCTGGGGTTGCGGGCTAAAGGGTTTCGGGCCCCCTTGGTTGCGGTTGGGTTTTGGGATCCAGCCCCCCCAGCGCCGGAAGGGTTTTAGGCTTTCAGGATGTGATTGGCGAATAGGAAGAATGTTTCTGGGGGTGGGGTGTGGTTCATTGTCCCTGTGACCCCTACATCACCCTGGCTAATTGACCTATGAACCCTGGGAGCCCTAAGCCCTGGGCCCAGCCAAGCACCAGACCCTGAACTCAAGTGCTGTCGAGCCTACTCCA